TTTCAAACGGGCCGGATCCGGCCCGAGGGCCATAGTTAGCCCACGGCTGGTTTAGATGATTGTGTGGTTTTGTCTTTTATCCTATTACTAGAGGCCCGATGCATGAAATTCATGCAAGATTAGGCCTTCCTTCCCCTGGCTGCTGGCACCAGCTTCTCTCCGGCACCCGGGACCCAGGCTTCCTCGCAGCCCCGGCTTAGTCCAGAAGGTCGTCCGGAAGGACGTCCGGTCTAATTAGCATATTATGCTTTTATTTTATAGGTTATGGTATTACATTAATTAATTTTCAACTATTAAATCGACCTTGCATTCCTAGGTACTTGGTGATGGTACATAATCCTTTTGATACATTATTTAATTCAGTTTGCTAATTTTTGTTGTTATTGTTGTTAATCCTCACCCATGGATATTTTTCCATTACTTTTTAGAGAGAGTGGAAAGGGGGCGGGGAAGAGAGAGAGAAGCATCGATATGAAAAAGACACATCAATTGGTTGCCTCTGCACTCACCCAGACCAGGAATTGGGAATTGAACCTGCAACCCAAGTGCATGCCCTTAACTGGGAATTGAAACCACGACCATTCGTGGGAGGTCTGATGCTCTTTCCACTGAGCCACACTGGCCAGGGCTCAGTTTGCTAATATTTTAAAATGATTTTTGCAGATATCTGTGTTTGAGGGATATTTGCCTGTAGTTTCATTTTCTTTGATGTATTTTTGTTTGTTTGTTTTGAATCAGGAAAATACTGGTCTTGCGAGATTGACGTCTGCCTTGCTTCTACAGACACATGTAAATAAAAATTTGTATTATTGTAATTTCTGCATTTATTCAACTGTTTCTTTTTCCTTTTGAGAAACAAATTTCATAAGTCATTTAAAAAGTAGAAACCAGATCTTATCTACTGGTTTGGCCACCAAAATAAAATCAATGTTCCATCTGAGCACCTGACCAGAGTCCTCTAGTCACATTGTGTGTCTGTCTATTGCAAACATGAGCAGAGACAGATGGCATGCCAGGACCTACACATTTCAAACTGCTAAACCGATCACAGACAGGAGAGGAGGGAGCTGCCACCTTCTGCTCCTCTTCTGCAGCATTGGGGGGATTGCAACATGTCTTCTGAGTAGTCATTGACTATCATTAACTTTGTATCATGGCCCTTTGAGATTTGAGGAAGAAATGTGATCACAATGTGTGTGTGTGTGTGTGTGTGTGTGTGTGGCCAATCAAGCTGGCTCTGCTGGTCAAAGTGTTTCCAGATGTCAGAGCCACATCGAGTGTCAGAAGAATCTGTGTTGATATGGTGTTTGGAGGGCACTGATCATCTAACCTGTGTTTGCCTCATCATGTAACCCTAATACTTATTATGATCATGGCTGCTTTGGGTTATCTTACCGTCTATGAAATGTGAAGAACAATCACAATGCTCTACTTGAGGGGGCTTTTTGATTAAAGAGACATCCAAATGTAACAGGAAAGAACTACTCCTTTCTAAGCATCACTACTTGTTCTGAAAACCAAGTCATCTCAGCTTGAGACTCATTGCTTGTTCATTCCTGAGAAGTCTGTTCATATGAGCAACCACAACTTGTCCAGTGCCCGTCTCATTTACTCTTCACACAATACCTTGAGGTAGGTATTTTGCAGATGAAGGGACTGGGGCTTACATTAAGAAATATGCCAACATCACCCTCATAATAAATGGTAGGATTTGGCTCAAGCACAGATTCAGGCTATTCGAAGCCCACGCTCTTCTACTACACACAGCCTCCCCTCTATTCATAGTCCTGCTGGGCTTCCCAGATGCAAGGCCTGTACAACCCTCTCCCACCTCTCATAGTTTCCACATTGAGTTCCTGGGGTGTGTGGGCAGGGATGCTGGGACTGTGGTTCTTTCATTGTATTCCTAGGGCTTCTTACTGTTGTGACATGTATTCACTGACAAGTGTTCAATGAATGTTGAAATAGAAGACTGAGTGAGAAGAATTATACTTCCTGGAATTAAAAATAATCTTTTTATTGAGCCCAGCCAGTGTTTCTCAGTGGTTGAGAATTGACCTATGAACCCAGAGGTTATTGCTTCGATTCCCAGTCAGGGCACATGCCCGGGTTGCGGGCTCAATCCCCAGTAGGAGGCATGGAGGCAGCTGATCAATGTTTCTTTTTCATTGATGTTTCTATCTCTCTCTCCCTATTCCTTTCTCTCTCTCTAAAATCAATAAAGATATATTTTTTTAAAAAATATTTTTATTGATTTTTTCGGATAGGGAGGGAGAGAGAGAGAGAGAGAGAGAGAGAGAGAGAAACATGGATGTGAGAGCAAAACATAGATCGGCAATTGAACTAGCAATTTTTCAGTGTACAGGATGACAGACACCCACCAATTGAGCCACACAGACCAGGGCATACTTCCTGGAATTTCTAGGAAAGCTTACATTTGAAGTTGGAAGCAAACCAAAAATGTATCTAATCCAAAATTTCCAGTCAGAGGAATTGAGGCTCAAAGAAGACAACACATATGTGAAAAGAAAATAGCAAGGGATCTGCACTTCAAATAATGTAAAGATAACATTGCAGGAAAAAAAACGTCAACTGCAGAAAAGAAAATTAAAAACAAAAAAAATGAAAAAGACGAAACAAACAAAAAAAGGAAAAAAATTAAAAAAATTTTAAAAAGCAAAAAAAAAACAGTCAACTGCAGTGACTTCACAATTGACTTAATACTATTCATTATTGCTTTTGAGAAATCATTCACCTGAAGGACTGGAATCAATTCTTAGACTCTTCTCAAAATCAACCAAATAACACACACCTGGCTCAAGAACCCGGGCTCTGAGCCACACATACATTTCACCCAAGGTCTGTGGCCCCAGCCCATGTGCCCAGCCTGAGCGGGGTGTTTTCTTACACATTTCATAGCTACGTTGTTAGTCTGTAGAGCTATATGCCATCCCCCAAGAATGAAAAGAATCCCTTCCTCTCCCCTGAACCCTCCCTCGGGGTGTTCTTTCCAGCCAGACCTGCTCTGCCAATTGTGCTGTCACCGACGCCTCCCCAGAGCTCACCTGTCCGGCCTGGCATGGACCTTCAAGCTTCCTTCCTCTCCACGCAACCCCCATCCCACACACCCTGCTTCCAGGTCAGGTTGTCAACAAAATCAAGGGACCTCCTCAAATTCTCCCAAATTTGTTATTTTATTTTGAAGTGGTGATCTTTAGCCACGGCATTTTCCTTTCTTTCATTTTTGGTCAATTAAGAGCGGCCATATCACATTTTATCTCTAAAGAACTTCGCCGAATCATCTTCTTTCTCAAATATCCTGAGGGGTTCTCCCTGATCTCCCACAACAGATTGAC